CTCCTTACTACTTCTTCTCTTCCTGGTCTCCTAGTCCCACCTATCTTGCTTTCCTATTGGCCAAGAGTGCTTTATTCATTAACAAATAAGAGAAACATATTTACAGAATGACATCTCCCATCAACCTGCTAGCTCAGAAAGGTTGAGTAGCAACCAGCTAATCTTCTCTCCTTGTTGGTGTCTCCTAAAAGCCTGTCCTTCTGTTCCCCCCAAACAGAAAAGGCCTCAGCACTCAAAATTCCCCCCATTACTTCCTGTGTATCTTCCAGATGCCCCCTGATGCTCAATAGTCACTTTCTGTCAACTAGTTGCTAACTAAGCCTCCTGAGCCAAGTTTTACTTTTACTTAATTAACTTAAATGTTAACTTGGGGTTCACAGTGTGATAGAACATATCTCAACATGTCTCCCATAGTTTACCATCCATGAACTATCAAATTGTAGAAGTCTATCCTTTTACAATGAAAAGATTTGTTATAGAGTACACATTACTAAACATTAGCAAGGCTGTAGCTCAGCAGAAATTGTAGAAAAATTATTTCAGTGTTAATGGTCTCCAGGCATCTAGCCACTGCTGATTGCTATGATCCTTCTTAGGTCTTTGAGGATCTGGAGAACCATCCCGTGAAGGGTTTTAAGTCTTACAGATGAAGTTAGGGATTTTTAGGCTAATTAATGGTGGTAATCATGTTATTTTTTATTTTTATTTATTTATTTATTTATTTTTGGGTTTTTCTAGACAGGGTTTCTTTGTATTGCTTTGGAGCCTGTCCTGGAACTCATTCTGTAGACCAGGCTGGCCTCAAACTCACAGAGATTCACCTGCCTCTGGCTCTGGAATGTTAGGATTAAAGGTGTGGGCCTCCAACGCCTGGCTACCAGGTTTTTTTTTTTTTTTTTTTAAAACATGTATGTGAAGTACAATGTATATACAATTAATGTATATATTGTCAGACTTAATGAATTCCTGTATACTGTTCAGGAGTTCTACAGATATGTACAGATAGCCACTATTCCAGCCATGAGCTATGTTTCTCTCATCTGACATGTCTCCCACCTCTTTGTATTTGGTCCTTCCCATCTCCTCTAGTCATGGCAATCTGTGATCTGATGTCTATTGATGGAATTTTGCCTTCTGCAGAATTTTAAGTGAGAGCAAACCCTTAGTAGTCTGTATCTGGCAGATGTGGTATAGTGCTCCTCAATTCCTTTATGTTGTCATATGTATCAACAGTTTTTTCTTTTTCCTTGAGTGGTATCTTCCACATAATAAGTTGTTTATCTGTTTACCAGCTCTTGGACATCTGAGTTATTTCAGGTTTGGGGCTCTCATGAGTAAGGCTGCTGTGAACATTCAATGAAGGCATGGGTGTAATGATTTCACTACACCCAAGATAAATGATAAGTGGGTGTTTTATTGGGGAACATCTTACACAGAACAATAAAAAAAACCGCCACAGCCTGTCTCTGCCCTTCTGATCTGATCCATGACCCAAGAGAAACCATACCTTATGCTTTCCATTGTCCACTTCCATCAGCACCTGAAGCCACGACTAAATGGGTGTGGCCACTGTTACAGGTTCATAGGCAGGATGCCCCTACAACTCAATCTTTGTGTGGAAGCTGGTTGTTTTAGTTCCTGATAACTAGAAGGTGAATTACTAAGTCAAACAAATGTGTTCTCTGCTTTAGAAAAAAAGAAAAAGTAAAACCTGCCAAATTACTTTGTAGAGTGCTTGTAACATTCTGAATTTTGTAGCATAATCCTTTTTTCAGATTTTATATTTAACTATTTGAGTAGCTATGTCATGGATCTCATTAATGATTTCTTATATTTCTTTTTAATTATGATGACAACTTATTTGTATGCTTATATGCTACTTTTCTTTGTTGACAAAGTTTTGAATTCTAGGTTCCATTGCTTCTTCCTTGCTATGGTTACTTGACAATGAGATTTTATAACAATTGTGAGTTTAAATGAATATATATATATATATGGAAGCCTCCATCGTATGTTGTTGGTCTCTGTAGAGGATTGGTTCCCATACAACCCTCATTTGTAAAAGTCTATGGATGCTCAAGTCACTCTTATAAAATGGCATATTTTCAGAGAATTTGTCGCCATCTTCCATATACTTTTAAGTCATCTCTGGCTGACGTAGAATGCAGATACAGTGTAGATGCTATGTAAATAGTTGTTACATTACCTTGTTGAAGAGTGATAACAAAACATTCTGTACACGTTAAGTGAAGTTGAAATTGTTTTTCCAAACACTTTTTTTTAAGACTTGTTCCTTAAATCTGAAGGTAAGAATCAATGACTACAGAGGACTGGCTGTACTTAATTGCCTCCCAATTTTAAGAAATAAATCCCTCGTAATGGATGCTCTCTTCCCTGGACTCTTTGCTCTCTGTAACATGTGTGGAGGCTTCTGTACCCTGCTACTCTGGTTTGTTGATCTTCTCTTTCATTCTTGCACATACCCTTTACTTGTTTGAGTAGTCAGTTCACACTCTTTAGAGAAAGCACAATTAGATTTACTAAGCTGCCTCCCAACCCCAACACACACACTCATCCCATTGGATCCTCCTCCAGGCCACAGAGAAGGCTACCCTGCAGCCCTGTGTTCATGGTCTGCAGTAAGGTGGTCACTACCTCGAGCTTTTTGGATAGCATGCACTCAGCACCAACTGATGTAAATAGTGGGAGTCAACAAGCAACTGCTGGTCTGAGCAAACTGAGCAGTTCTGGAGTTTTAGAGAATACAAAATCTTAATGGTGGATCTGCTACTGGATAGTTCTCAAATTCTTACTTTATATGTTGCTTGTGTACACTTTGAGTTTGCTTGATGGATGGCTATAAAATCACTTGAAACTGTGTTTTAGTAAACCCTATCATTATGATCTGACTAGGAACAAGAGAGAAATTGTAGTTTTGGATTACCAAAGTCTAGAATATCCCACATTTTACTTTGGTTTCCCATGGGTCTTCAGCATGTCAGTATGAACAGTAGAACTAAATCTAGAGTATGCTCTTGTAGTTTTGTTTGTTACCTTATGAAGTGGTATTACCATTTTATATTGATTGTTTTATATTAATATCTAGGCTATTTTTATTTCACACTAAAATACATAGTTATAAGCTCTTTAGAGATTTGTGGAGATTAAGCATCAACATTGATGTAATAGAGAATTGAATTGGCTGTGGGAAATATGAGATCTGAGGTGTGCTCTGTGACTATGGAGCAGGCATAGAGCCACTCTAAGAGTTCATCTCCTTAGTAAAAATGGATCAACTGTGCACATGACCATAAGGACTCTAAGGCCGCTCTGAGCACACATGGCCACTCTGAAGATAAACTGATACTGGATTTATTTACTTGTAGTGTTCTGTCTCAGCCATAATTTTATGACTCTGAAATCTCTGATTCATAATGGAGTTTGGCTCTTTACTTTTCTCTCTTCAAAAGTATGAAAGTAGGCAAGAATAATCATAAAGCTGAAAAAGAATATTTGAGCCAAAATAAAAAAATAGCTAGTTGCAAAATAGCATAGTACAAAACTATTTATTTTATTCTGAGTCACAACCAATTAAATTGGGCTCAAAAATCTTGTAGATTAAATGTGCTCTAAAATAATTTTAAAAGCATACGACTTTATTGATTTGAATCCCTGGAATTCCATATAAAATAATATCATTAAAATTCATGCACTAAAGGAACCAAGAGAAATGTGGAAGCTGTCTTTATTTTATTCCTTCTAGTGCTAAGTTCTATTTCATACCATTGCTGAGCATCCCCGAGTGATCCAACAAAGCAGACTGTTTGGAATGGCTTGTAGGTGACAGTGTTGGGGTGGACCACTCTTGGTTGCTATCAAGGTAGACATTTTCAGGCTTTCTGTCCAGTTTTTAAATCCATATAAAATCTGGGTCAACATGTGCAGGCTTACTAATAAACTTTATTGTCATTTATCGTACATCAGTCCAGAAAGGAGCATGTGATACTTGGGAATCTGGCAAAAACCCCAGGTGGTATGGTTTTTAACTATCATCTGTTGCAGCTGCAAGCAATTCCTTAGTTACCAGTTATTCCTCTTTCCTTGCACAGAATGTGCTTCTCAATGAAGAAGTGGTGCCTCCCACTTCAAGCAAAGATGCAGTCAGTTCTTTGCTATTGTGGCCTCTGACAAAAGCAGATGTGGGAGGAAGACGGAGTTAAAATTTCCAGCACTGGATCTTCTCATGAGTTGCCAGATGTCTGGATAAACATCGCTTTGATGATTCATCCAGTTACCCCAAATACAGTGAAAGCAGTCACACATACTGGAGATGTGCAGAGTCACATCCCTCAGACAGCCTTAGTTTCTCGTCATCTTTTAAAATGCACCGTACTGGTTAGGGCCAGCCACATGCCCAAAGTTAATTTTCCCTTCCTGAAAATGAGGCGTGGTGTGTTCAAAAGGTGGCCTGACCTAACCCAGGGTCGGGCCACCTTCTATGACATGTAGGAACGAACATTCTTGTCCAGGTCAGTGTTGCATGTGAGGCACAGAGAAAGCTGTAACACAGACACTTCCTTTTACAAGAGCTGAGTTCTGAAAGTACAAGCGCCCAGCCCTGGGCAGAGTTTCCCTTGCCCAGTCCTGCTATGGTATGTCAGCCGCCCCTTCCTGCTGCACCCGGTCCATACGTGAGCCTGAGCCCTGGTGAGTCCTACAAGGGATGCTGCATTTAGAGGCATGTGACACCTGGGGCGAGTCTTGGGTCTCTTGTGGCTGGTGCATGATGCAAACCCACTCAGTTGTTGATTTTGTTGTTTTCTTCAGCCAATGGAAAGCCTGCTACACTAGCTTAGTGCAGGCTTCCAACCCATCCTTCCTCTTGAGTTTCAGAAATGCATTGTCATATGTTATTCAATGAAGACTGATGTCATCTTAATGCTCTTTGAACTTCTTTACTTGTCCATCAGGATGCTTAGCCTGTGTCCATTTCCTTTCAGAAATCGGAGTTGAACACTGAGAACATCATTCCTACTTTTTGAGTTTTGAATTGAAAGCTGCCAGAACCCTATGGCCTAAAGGGGAAATAAAAGGTAATCCTATTTTAAAAGGAATTATTAAATCTAACCATGCTAAATATATATTTTTTTGGTGTGTTTCACAGAATCTTTGAATCCCTTCTTCATTTCTCCAACTTCATTTACTTTCCTTTTCCTTTTTTCTCCTCTCTCCTGCCCTTCTGTTAGCTTCCTCTTTTCTCTGCATTCATTCAGTAGGCATGTGTGGAGTCCTTTCAGGGCCAGCCGGTATTGGGGCACACACAGAAGCCTGGCTGGCATGGGAGGGGCTGGTGAACGCACATCTGAAAATGGCAGCCCCGTCTCTTTCCCAGTGCTTCTGGCGATGGTCTCACCGTGAAGCTGCAGCTGTTCCTATACCCACTCCCCTCCCCTCATCATCGCATTGGCCCTGGAACAAACGCCCTCCTGCCCTCTAAGTGCCGAGTGGGCATTTGAGTTACCTGAACCTACCTTCTGGTTGTATTTAATCTTCACAATCACGACTGTTAGACTCACAGTTACACACTATAAACACAGCAACAATTAATATGTAGACGTTTCCACTGGACCTGAGACCTGACATGACAGTTCAAGGTGAACATTTTTTTCTATTCCTGTCTTATGTCACACTAAAGATCCAGGTGTACCAACGTTCTATAAAGTCACTTTCTGGTCATATAAGGTATGTGTGAAACAAGAACACATTTCACATGGAGACACACCTGGACGTGTCACATTTCTCAATCTTCTGCAGGATACAGATGGTAGCACTTCTCGGGGTTCTGCAAGTACTGAATTAATTAGTGTAGACAAAATACAGTGTCCCAGGCACACACTGCCTTCATGCAGGGAAGCCCTCAGCGACAGTGATAAAGTGGCAATGGTGTTATCATGATGTGTTTCTAATAGGACAAATGCCATGAGAGTCTAACAGTAAGAGGGAAGAAGGGCTACACGTTCAGTAATCTCATTGTTAGTTCATTAAATAATTCCCTCCACTTTGATCACAAAGGTTTACCCATAAAAGCTTTGGCTCAGATTGCCAAGCAGAGTGAATAGTTAGTTATGTTATATATTCCTTACCCCTACTGTTCTTACCATATTATTTATATTTACATAAGTTTAAAGGCAATGTAATATGCATAAGTATTTGTTCTCCCTTATTAGATAATTTCTTCTTATTAAATATGAAATGTCCTGAAATATCACTTTATTATATTTTCTTTCCCCAAACTTTAAGGAGCAAACCAACCTGAAATTGAACAATACTTACACTGTACATAAATTGAATGCAACTTACTTATGTTTTGGCTTTTGGCTTGTCCTTTGAACTGAACACATAGTTACATTATGGCATTAGAGATTTCTTAAGCATTCATTTCATAGCATCTGCAGACAAGCATTGTATAGAGCTGGGGTGGAGCTCAGGAGTAGAATTTGTACTCTGCATGCTCAAGGCACAGGACTACAGACTACATCCCTAGTAACACACACACACACACACACACACACACACACACACACGCGCGCGCGCACAAGAGTCTTTTAAAGAAAAGATTGTATAATTATATAATTCATTGTGAGTCTCATACATTAGCAAGCAGGTCCATCCGAACCTTTCTTTGTCTCTATGGCAGCATTGGACATGCACAGTACAAATGAGAACTGGACTGAAAATGCTTTGAGGGAATGAGTGAACAAGAACCAATTTGCTAAAACCCTGAGGGCAGGATGGCTTTCAGATTTGCTTCAAGTAGCCCCGTGAAGCAGAACTGCAAAGAAACTCATGTCCCTGGGAGGATGTGTGCGCTGGAATGCAGCAATGTCAGCTCTGTCTGATGTTTGGGGTGTGGATGGCCAGAGTCCGCTTGCTTTCCTCTGTGCTCTCCAGCTGCCTTCCCCCACCCTTCTTTCCTCCTTGCCTGCTCTCCATCCTCCTGGACCTTTCTCTGAGACCCCTATTGTCCCAGTGCTGCTTGCCTCCGGAGGGGAAGCTGATGAGAGTCGTACCCAAGAGTGGTAGCTAGCCTGAGCAGCCATACCCCCTCCCTTTGCTGCCCTCTCTGCCACTGTGACCTCTGCTCCAGCAGACCCCTGTGGGGATCCCTGGTGGTGCCTTTCAGCCTCTACTCTTGGAGGTGGTTTCACTGATGCCCTTAGATCCATCTTTTCTCAGCTGATTTTGGAGGAAATGCATTCTGTCTCTGTCCACATCAGTATTTCCTGGCAGAGAGCTGGATTATGGTTGCACTTTTGCAAATCTCTCTGCATTTTGCAAGGAAGGACCAGGTTTGGACAGGGGTTGCATGTTCCGTTGGAATGAAGACTTAGTAACCTTAAGGGATATCACTAGCTCCTGTGATAGAAGTCTAAACCCGAACTTGCACAGAGTTCTTCTCAACAATAGACACCAGCCTTTTTTCATTAGCATTTAAAAGTAAATTTGCACTTTTACGTAGTACAAGAATGGAGGGAGTTGTGTGAGGAGAATTCTGACTGCTTGTGATAACACGCCAAGAAAGCAAGACAAGGCTCTTGTGACCTCAGGTTCTTCAAAACATGAAACTGTTCTTGGAATGGTTTTTGTGCTCCTCCCAGGTGTAGTGGAGGGGAGTGAGTTTACTTCAGATTACTCATTATTGCTTGCTGTTATTTTCCAATTAAATGTTTACAATATCCTTTAGATGCCTCTCCATAGAGGCAAACATTTTTGGCACAGGTGGCTTATCCTTATGATTATATACAACTTGAACTCATGAGAACTTTACTCACCTGGCCTTTCTTAACAGTGTAAACTGTCTGCGGCTCTGAATAAAGGTTGTTATTGCACGAGACTTTAGTCCACCCGTTTATCTATCATCGGCATTCTCCCAGGTCCCACCAACTCTAGAGTGAGCAAACATGTGGTTGTGTGTGATAGGTTGTGGTTTTGTCCTGTAAGTTAGCAAGTGAGGGAAGTACAAGTTCTTCTCAACATGTAGAGAAGAACAAAATAAAAGTTTCTGAAAATCAAGAAACTAAGGTGCCGTTCTGTGGGTAGTGAAGATGGCTCTGTCATGTTTCTACTTTGAGGCCCTTATTAAGTAAAATAAAAGTTTGTTAGGACATAAGTAGTAAACTACCTGGGCAGGTGATGATTGAGATGACGCTGGTTAGGAAGTGATTAGCAGGAGATTTGAACACACCTTGTAGATAATTCAAAGGCTAATCAACTCCTGATGAAATGGCAGGGTGGGAATCCCTGGCCCTCTTTAGAGTCCTGTGATTTAAAACACTGGGGCTATTATGTGTATGAAATTTTCCATTTAATACTTTTTTTGCAATGGCTGACCACCTGCCACTGAAATTGTGGGAGATAAAGCCATGGCTGGGGTACTATGGTTTGCCTTTATTTTGTTTGGTCAAAGACAATAATCTGAAGGTGTATTTTTTATTTTTATTTTCCTGCCTCTTTACTTATTTATTTATTTTTTGAGACCTTGATATATTGACTGGTCTTTTAAATATCAATGTAGTAAAGCCATGGTGCATTACATTTTTTTTTTCAACATGGTCTGTAATGTCAGTTGATTAGCCATCTGCAGAAGTTGCTCAGCTTCTTCCTGTTATATAGGATTCCCTTTCAAACAAAACAACAAAAAGAAAAACACTTCAGTTTTTCCTAGGTGTTTGTGCTCAGGTGTATACTTCTGTCTTCCTTCTTGTTTATATGTAGACTTAAAATAAAACTTTTATTTATAGGCACATGCCAGTCATAAATGAAGTTTTGTTTTCATGTGGAATGTTATTTGCAAGCTGCTTATGTTTTTAGTGGAGTCTCTTCCAGTGAGCACTGTTCCCTAGCAGTGTCCTGACTTGATTCTTCAGTTTATTAGAGTTGGACAGCTGCCATTTCTCCTCATTGTTGCCAAGGCCACCAAGCCTGGGTGTCTTCATTGCCCCTCTGTTCTCTGCCCACTGCAGGATACTTCCAATCTCAGACCGCTCCAGTTTTGTTTTGTTTTTGGTTTTTTTTTTTTTTTTTTTTTTTTTTTTGAGTCTATCAGTAGACAGATGGGCATCATTACAGCACAGCCCAGGCAGGGAGTGACTGGGTTGCCATTCAAGATCAAATGTAGAATTCTAGATTATTCTGCTCAGTAGCTCATCAAATGTATGTGTACTCTCAGGAGATAATTGTACCCATTGAGAAGCACGCTGGCCTTCTCTTACTGGGAGATGACTGGTGATGCATAAATGTCTCTTGCTGAAACACTAAATCTGGGTCAGTACTGATTGTGGAGTTGGTGACAGTTGCCATCATCTCTGGCCATTACCTCTGGGGTCATTGCTGCTGAGAAGTATGTCATTTTATGCCCCTGAAGTTATGAAATGATTAAGGCAGAGAAGTACTATATTTAGAACCAATTGAGAACATTGGTATTGTTTTGCTGTTGCCTGCCTTCAGCATGTTTATAGAATGTAGTAGGGCTGTCTTCTACATTTATTCTTAGCATAGATACTATTCACCTAATGTAGACCTAATGAAATAACAGGTGCATCAAGTCACTTATTAAAAGAACCAGTTCCCTGCCCCACACCTATCAGAGGGGGAGAAGCTTCCTGCTTAGCTTTTAGAAGTCCCTGAGTGGCCTGAGGCTCTACCTACAGGCGTGTGCCTGGCAGCCTCAGTGAAAAGACTTGGCCTTTACCTTTAAGAAGCCCATAGCTAATCTGCCAGCATTGTTCTGTGCTGTAACTCTTTCCATTCGGTGGGCCCACAACATGCTTGCATGTTATTCGGAGAGAAGTTACATGAGTGGCGAAAGAGGTGGCCCCTTGTCCCTTCTGAGTAGTTCTCATCCATGTTGTCATAGGCTTAGGATTCCTGTGGTGGTTGATCTGATCTGGGCTGATGGTTGGTACACATGCACGCATGCCCCTCTCTGACTATCCCATTTCTTGATCATCTCTTCCAGAGCTGCTTGTGTTGGGTCCTGCTGACAATACAGAGTTGTCTGACATCTGGAATGTGGTGTCCATGGAGTCAGCTC